TGACAAAAACGTTTTACAGTAAATGAAATGATAAACAAAGAATACTCAAGCCCCAAACAAAGAGGCCTCAAGCAAACCCTGTTTAGGCCAATAGCAGTTGGTGGTACTTTGAAGTCTCCTCTGGCGTAATGACCATAGTGTTTCAGTGTTTGTGTGTGTGTGTGTGTGTGTGTGTGTGTGTGTGTGTGTGTATGCGTGTGTCTATGTCTAACAATAGCAGACAGGCAAATCAAGGGACAGACGGACAGGCAGACGGAAAGAGACAGAAGAGGAAAACCTAAGACTTTGAGGCTGAGATTTAATGAGTAAGAAACAGATAAGGAAAGCAAGTGAAAAAGTGTGTCAGGCCCTGCAACTCCTACACACAGCAGTAATAACCACTCTGTGAGTAAGAGGCTGGCAGAGACACTCCCTAAAGATTACAGCACAGCATGCTACACTGAACTCACCTGAAGTCACTCATCTCTCAAACATCAGCTAGGAACTCAGAGCTCTGAGAGGATTCCAGAAGCCTGAGACCCTGGGAATGAGAACATCACAGATTCTGGGAGGCCTTAGGCCAGAAAAGAATATCACACACATACAGGTGCCTTTTCTCATGGCACGGAGCAGCACGTCTTAAGTGAGACGAACACTAACATCTTCGATTTTAGCCCACAGTCCTTCAAAGGGGAATTTAAATTTACATTTTAAAATGAACCTAATGCTGATATAAATCAGAAGTCTATAGGCCAACACCAGGAACCCTGTGCATATCACACGAAAAGCCATTTTTTGAGAGCGGGTCAAACGTGTTGACTTTTACAGGATGTCATTTGGATATGGCTACATGCCCTGCAAAATGCCACAAGCGGAAATTGATCTGGCCAAAGTCCCTGAAGTTAAATGTCAAAGTCACGTTCAAATGTGAACTTTAGAACTTTGGAGTTTCTAAATCTTAGTTCTCTCATAAAACAGACCGTTCCTCTGAGACTATGTACTAAGTAACACACACCTGCACAACCACTGGTGCTGTTCCTGCCACAAGCAATGTACATTAATATTCAAAGTTAGGGATGCAGAATAAATTTGTAAGTTGTAAGTCAAAAGTTTGAATAATCCCAAACAAACTTAAATATAGCAAATTTTAGTGCATGATTTCTATTTATTTGCTGAGTTTACCATACTGGAAATAAAAATAAAACACATAGTACAAAAAGGTGCCATAGGTATTTCACAGGCCACATCTCTTCCCCAGTATGTTAAACTGTTAAAGGCGCCAGAACTTCTGCATATGACTTTAAAGGAGAACTACACAGAAATAAATGAGTGGAATTAGCCAACAGGGATGCTGCTGTCTCTGTGTGCTTTGGAGCTGCTTTAGGCAGCCTGATAGCTATGGTCCCTGGCAGAAGAGCAAACTTTCCGTAATTCTTTTAAAAATCCCAACAGCACAGCATCCTGACCAGTGATAAGCATACAGGCTACTCTGCTACAACCCAGATCCATACAAATCACCAAAGGCTAATGGTGTTTTGTACGGGAAAAGGAATATTTTCACAAAAGTCAATATTATATTTTTCCTGACTGGAAAAAATTATATATATAAGATATCAAATTAAACCAAAATGCCCTATTAGTACATATCAGATCAGGAGACTAGAGGAAGGGAAGCACAGAGAACTGTGTGTGTGCATGCTTGTAAAATCATAGAAAAGGTTTTTGCTATTAGCTCCAATTTACGAAGGAAATGATCCCAAACCCACAGTAAGTAAATGGCATGGGTATATTGTGTAATTGGCACAGATGCACCCTCTGGCATTAATTCTGTTTCCAGATCCTTTTACCTTTATAAAACCATCTTAAGAAAGAAAAAGCATGCCAAATCAAGCAACAACTATTTAATTGCTTTCACTATGATATAATTACCAAACTGTCATTTATATACCTTACATTTTGCAACTTAGTCAGTTATTCAATCTCTGATCACACAATTTATAGAGATTGTTTTAGATTTTTTTTTTTAGACATGAAAATTTACATTTGGGCCATAAATTAGTGAGTGCTTCATTGAATATTATTATTATCATCAATTTTGACATCCCAAAAATATACCACTTTCATAGTTATATAGTTTATAGTTATTAGAATGTGGAAATAAAGAGTGGGCCCATATACAGGCCCTTGCAGTTGAAGGGGTTAAAGTGCTTTCTGCATTGTAACAGACGGTATATTATGGCACACTCACTGTCTGCAGGGTTATCTGGAGAACAATAATATTCAGCAGACATTTCTGTGAATATTTCATGGGCAGCATGTCACTGTCAGCCCTCGAAGAACATTATGAATTCTGCCATGTATACTTGATTTGATTAACTTGATGGTTTCCAAGAGGATTTCTGTGTTACTAAACTCATTTGAAAGCCTTGTAAAAGAGAAGACTGGTTTTACAACTAGAGGAATGGGACAGCAGTCTATTCACTCTAATGTGAATAGTTTGAGCGTGTAGCACACACAAATTCACATAAGGTTTTATGTCAAAAACATTGCTTGATTATAAAATGTTACAAGTATGGCTTGACCACGTAGCAGGGCCCTGTGTATCTCAATAAAAGGCACAACTAGAACTTAGCTTGGTACAGGCTAACCTACAGGCCTATAATCTTCAAATTTCAAAACCAATTTTCAGCTAAATGTTAAGGCCTCTTTTTGATATACGTGACCGCACACATTCACTTTGATTCTCATTTACATGTCCCAGTTAACTGAAAACTTATGACAGAAACTCTCCATTGCAAGCCAGTAATATCATGTGGAGGCAAAGTAACTGTGATGCCTACCACATCAAAAGCAGAGGAAACTTGTCATTCCTCCTCATTCAAAGCAACTGTAGAAAGACAGGTCAAAGCTGTCTCTGCCAGTGGGAGGTGAGAAAGAGACAGACTGACAGGGACAGGCAGGAGAACTCTACTGGAGAAAGTAGACCTCCCTCATGTGATGGATTGTACCCAAAAGGAAAAAGGCATTTGGGTGGGGAGGTGTCTCATAATTAATAAGCTGTACATGCACAGGGGTCTGTTCCTACCACATTACTGAAAATACAGGGACACTGGATTGTGTCCAACTTGGAACCAACCTATGCTGTTTAAAGTTTTATTAGATGTTATTTGTTAGATGAATTAGATGTTATTAATGACATTCAGCAGCAGATTCTGTAAATCTTTACTGGCCAGTCATCAGTCTTCAGAAAACATATGGAACTCTGCCACTGATCTGATTAATATGGTGCTTTCCAAGAGGATCTGTGTGCTACTATTCTGGAACTAGAGCAAGAGAATACTCAGTTAGTCCACAGAAAATGCTGAGTCAGTCATCTTGGATCATAGCTCTAGAAGTCTAGACCTGGTGTTTGTTTTTCAATCTTCAGTTTTAGTCATACACATGTGGTATCACCTAAAAAAAGTAGTGGCTGTCTAGGCAGGTCGGACACACTTTGTACTTATTATTGATGAGCTCACTCAATGCTGACATGTTGAAACCTGAGCTATTCTGGAGGAGAGAAGATGACTATCAAGAGTTACAGATCGAAAGGGTTCAGCCGGCAAAAGCATGGATACCTAGAACACTGATATTACTCATTGCTGGTTTTGATTTTCATTTCTAAGCATGCGCAAGTTTAACTGGACCGGTCACTCAGAGGTTAAAAACCTTCTGAACTTAATAAATGTGATGCTGCGTGCTCACTGCTCACCTATGCATTACATTTAACACTCGCATTATCCTTAAAGATTTCAACAACTTCATTATCCTTTGAACATAACATTTCCACATTTTCTTTATTGTTTATGGTGTGAGAGTGGTGGGGTGGTATTCAAATGTAGGCTTTACATTGCAAAATCTCTGCATATGTCCCTGTGTATCAAACAAATAGGGGGAACTAGGGGCAGTTGCCAAAAAAACTTTTTTAGAAAAGTTTTTTTTAAATTATCATTGTCATTGTAAGAGCATGCACTGTGACTAACCGTGAACACCACAAAAAGCCAAGTGTTCACATGAAATCAGCCGATAAATTAAACCCAACCCATATGACCCTTAACACTTATGCTATGACAAATGCCGATTCTGGAATTGTTTAGATTTCAAGCACAATGTTAGAAAGTAATCGAATATATGGACAACACTGGATGTGACTACATGTTTTAAAAATGTAATATTATTTCTGGCTGTTGCTGCTGTTAAAAGCAGCTATAAAACCAGATTTACGAGCAGTTTCTTTTCCATGGCAACATCATGCCCTCTCAGTGATTCAAAACAAACGCACCTGGGCAACAAACATCTCCATCTGATTCATCTGAAGTCATACACACGAACACCTGTTTTCTATACAGAAATGTAATCTGCAGACTTAGATAATAAATTAAGGTGAGAAGTCAAAAGCCAGTTACAGATCAAGATCCATGCACCTACATTTTACACTTTATATTTCATACATATAATAATAATAATAATAATAATAAAGAATTTTAACTTTAAAGCATGTCCAGTATTACTCACTTATGTTTCAGTACTTTTTATAGTGTATTCTTGTTATGTGGGACTTCTCATATATGGGCTCTCATGTCTCATTTACAGCAGAACACTGCATTAACTCAATCTGCAATTTCTATCAAGGTTACCACATGAGCATAATGTAAAAAAAATATTAAGAGACACAGCATTTGAGAGAGGAATTATCTAAATACTTCAGACTGAATTGTGGACTTAAAGTCTGAGCTTGGGCTAACAAGGAATTTCAATAGCAAATCAATTTTACACAGAATCTGTGCCCAAATTATTGGCCTTAAATTAAAACAAACAACACAAATAACCTACACCTTAAGCAACCTCCTGCAACATGCCATATCTAGTTAGCAAGGAACTGCCGGACAGATACGAAAAAACACACACACACATTCATCAACACAAAAAACACTCTTCACAGCACAGAACTTGCGTGCACATTGCTTTAAGGCTGCACATACCTGCCTCCTTCTTGCTCCCCTTCCCTCCTTCTCTGTTCATTTTCAGTACCGCTTTAAACATGGTGCAACCTTCTGTGATATCCGCTCACTCTTGTTTTCCTAGTCACCCTGTGGACATACAAAAACACAAATTTAGTTCAGAATGAAAATGTAGGGTTTTTTCCCCCCATCAGCAAAGATTTGTTCAAAAGTTCTCCAGTATCATTATATTGATGTTAAGTGTGATGTGGTAAGATTATGGCTTTGTTGCTGCTGCTGCTGCTGCTGCTGATGATGATGATGATGATGATAATAATGATAACACTGCATTTTCTGTTAATTTCCTTGCAAGAGGAATTCTGGGATATTTCTCACAGTTCCTCAGAATCCAGTTGGTGAGGTCTGGCAGACCAGTGTGGAAAGAATGCTCCAATATTTAGACAGAACAGCTCCGCTCCACTATCTTGTTATGCCGGAAAACAAGCTGTCGGATTCTCAGCATTCCTCATCTAACTGATGCTGTACGGCTGAACTTGAGCCTTTAAGGCCACTTGTCATGATAATATTAACATATCTGTACACTGTGTCTGCTCTTTCTCTGAATTAGCTCAAACAGATTAACTCAATGGGTCAAACACATTGAAAAATGTGCATTTATCATTCAAACGTGTTTGATTTAGCAAGATGGCTGCTGCACCTAGATCCTCAGCAAAGCCTCCTGGTGTTCTGATGTGTTGTGCTACCTTTCACATAAAACTTACATAGCTTACAGTCTTAATTTGCATTATACCACAACAGATTTTTAGAAAAACAATTTCACGATACTGTATCGCACAAATAATTAAAGTAATAAGGGCACACAGCCAGTTTATGTTGTTCTCATTTCTGTTTAATGCTTAGATATTACTGATGCTTAAACTCAGTGTGCATCTGAGAACTGCAGAATGGTGTCAGGTGAATGTCTGGACTCTGAGACCTCGATGAACTCCCACCAGGCCCTACTGCAGAATTCAACTCTCAGCTCTAGTATGAAAAAGCCAGTAGTCTCTCCAGAGACTTACACAGACTTATTCATCTAGCCACTTAGATAAGACAGCACGCAGCAGCCATGTGCTTCATAGCAGGAGCCCATGAGAGTCCATCCTGAGAAAAAACTGAAAGAGACGGACAGAACCTCTTATCTAGCAAGCTCTGAAATCCTTAAAAAAATCCATGTCAAACTATTTTAAATCTCTCAGAAACTGCCATGTTCCATCTGTAATTACAGTAATTCAAATGTAAGATCAGTTTGAGATGGTTTATGTGGATAAATTCAGTAGGTGTGTGGTTTGGCCTAAGTCCAATAACTGCAGTTCTTCACATGCAGACACAGAATGTAAAGTGCAAAAGTGTTTTTTTTCCTCCTCAAACGCAAAAGCTCCAAAATCCACAAAGCTAGTAATAATAATCAAAATAAAGTTTGTATCAAAGTTTGCTGTCAATGTGTAAACGTTGTAGACATTCTGTACTGAGATGCAGAAAGACCATGCAACACTTTCACAGCACACTCCTCACTTTCACACCTGTATGCGAAATAGACCCACCCAGAACCGTCTAAGAATGTTACCCTTACAAACCTACTGAACTGATATGATAGTAGAGGCCCTGGTAATCTGAGACCAGTGTTTACTCTTCCAACACTTAAGCTGGGATTTAATTACAGCAGCACTTCCCGAGGGCTGGGTACCCCAGCACTGCCAGTTGTTTCATGCTCCAGCACAAAAAATTCAGTTCATAAAGAACTTAATTAGGCCATGTGGAGAGTCCAACATAATACCAGCCAAAAGTCAGACACATCTAAATGAATATGCACTTAAAAAGAATCTAAAATACAAGATATTTTTTGGTCACTGCATAAATCTATATATGTTACTTCACAGTTTTATGTCTTCAGTACCATTCTGAAATGTGGAAAGTAGTAAAAGTTAAGGGAAAGCCTTCTAAGTGTGACCAGACTGGTACAGAGCAATAATGCTACATGCAAGCTAACACTCCTGTACGCTGAAATGACACTGCACGAATAGTAAAAGTTAAGTCTAAATTAAACTTCAAATTAAACTATTAAACTTCAATACTATTATATACCAACACCAGCTACTCACAGTGTAGCCTACTACTGTCCAAGCAACTTACTGATCACATTTAACAAAGAATATTGATTTGCATGAGGTAATTTTTGGAGTTTGCCAGTCTAATGACATCAGTTCAATGCAAGTGTAAGCTTGCATGTAGAAATATTTGTGTTTTGATTCATATTTTAACAACCTTGTCATTCAGAGGATCTAGCGACATTTGGAAGAAAGAATATACACAGGACAAAATGTATCAGGTTTGAAACACTTCTGCTTACAACAGGATGCAATAGCAGTGATTTTCAAAAATGCCATTAATTTTTCCCATAGAGAAAACCTGCTTAGCCCTAGAATTTCTATTATGGGCATCAAATTGACTACAGAATGACAACCGGATTTTAGAGGTCTACGGCTCCAGAACAAACACTGTGTTTAAAAAAAAAAACACTGATCTACAAGCAGCCAACCAACTGTCAAACTAACAAAAAACAAACAAATAAATAAATGGGAAAGCACTTGTTCTCCCCATGTCCTATCAGCTTGTCCTCTTGTTCATTCTAACTGAAGAAGGGCTGCAGAATTGAAACTGGCAGCTGAGACGCCTGCCTAAATAGAAGGCTGGCAGCTACTGAGACATGAGGAATTCCATCTCTACCTTGTAAAAAGAGACTGTCCAGTCTGCTTGGGTTAATTTGTGTCTTACAGAAACAGCTTAGGACAAGGCGTTATAAAAGTACCCCCAACTGAGTCAATGTTCGGCTGGATGAGCTCCTGGGGAGGAACAGAGAAGTAGGCAACTGTTTGTACAGAATAAAACAACTAAGCTATCTTACATTACCAAAATACCTTAAGGACTAGGTAATCAGGATAAATTTGAGAAGATCACTCTTTTTGGTTTCTGCACATGCTAAGCAATCTGAATGCCATCATAAAAATTGTTTAGCTGTAAACAAGCCTGTTTTTGACTGCATTGGCATGTTACCCATCTTTTATCCTTTCCATCAAATCCCATTTAGTACAAGAACAGAGAAGGACAGGAAATACCATGCATTCATACAGTATTGAAGAGCTCTGAGCCAAGAGCAGTTCCCATGGATAAGACTATTATACTCTGACAATCAGCATGCATTTTACTTGCCATATATAACAGTCACCCTAGAACAGCATAGCAAGTTTGGTGTAGAATTGATTGGGCTACATGGGAAAATCATAACTACAATCAGTGAGCTAGTTCTTCGTAACATGTCTACGTCATGAACAACACTCACATTAATAAAATCACCTTGGTTATGCATTTCTTTATTTGTTCCATGGTAAATAATGCAAAAATACATCTCTGCTTTTCTCAGCTCCAGCACCCAGCTTGCTTTTCCATCTATTCTGTTGTTATGCTTACAGGATGGTAACGTCAAACTCTTAAAAAGACAAAAATATGAACCACATGGAGGCAATTACAGTAGCACACATTCCTGTGTACCTCTCTTTCCCTTACATTCTTCTACCTCTTTGCTCTTTTTCCCTTTTGTCTTTTTCTCAGCCAGGTGAACAGCTGCAGCCAAACCCTTATACCCCAGAAATGCATTTGATCACCTACAGAGGTTTTGACATATATTATTATCACTGGAAAACAGAGAAAAACTGGAAACTTGGATCATATAAAAATTTTTTTCTTCTTTTAATTTTCTAATGAATACGAGGTTTTACTTACCCAAGATGATTGGCAGAGACTGTTGTAGGTTAGATTTTTTCTTCTTTAGTTTAGAACTGGAGTTTAGAACTGGCTAATACTGCTAACAAACACTAGAACTCAATAATAACCCAAATAGTCTAAATTCTTTCTGTAAAATAGGTCACTAAAACATCTTTCAACCCACTCAAATTGCATCCAGGTCTTCATTAAGGTTGCACAGACCTGTCAAGTTCACAGTATAATTTGCTGTGAACTATAAAAATGAAAAAAAAAAAAATGCAGACAGCCACTTAGGACAATAAGGTCTGTATTCACAAAGCACCTCAGTACAAGGCCTGGTGTTGTCTGAAATAGCTGCCTGAAGCAGTGAAGTTTTGTTCATTTTTATAGCTCACAGTAAGTTAAATTGTGTTCTACACCACATCTGCGTGACTTTAATAAAGACCTGAGTGTTTGTTAGTAATGTTAGCCTCATAGCTTCAGTCCTAAAATACAGAAGCTAAATTTTGTTCTGACAGTGACAAGATTAACTCCAGTTATCTGGGTTTTCATTCACAAATGAAAGAGCTGCAGATTTATATATGCAGCATTTGAGATGTACTGTCCATCCACAAGAATATAACAGAGATTGAGAGAAAGCAAGTCATGGAAGATGATTGTGCATCATTCAGCCAAGTATATAAAGTCATGAGGTGAACAGCTTTATAGGTTTAGAGGGAGCGCAAAATTAATACATCCCTTGCTGCCTCCCCCAGCCACCTGATTCGACCTAGGAACCTAATTAAATCAACATGTGTCTCTCTTTCTGCACAAAGCAGCTGTACAGACAGATCAGCATCACAAAAAATGATAAGGGCCATTGGAATGGGAAAAAGTCCACTGAGCACTTCAAGAGAAAGGCTCCTCGGGAGAGAACCTCAAAGCAGATCAACATGCAGCCTAGCAGCCACAGAGAGGGTTTATCTCTCACATGCTGATAGAAGGGTTGTTGCCTCGCAGCCTCAACTGCCATCTGAGCTGTGTGTATTATCTGGCTGAAGGAGCGCCCTTGACTGCCCTCTCTCCATCAGAGGCTGGACTGAAACTGCCATATCTTTCTGGACACACAATGAACTTAGGAACTGAAAACGTGTATTTATTCAACAGCAGCATGGCCCCACACTGCACAGAGAGTGGTCAGGGATGAAAAGCTGGCAAATCATAGAAACAGAGAGGTAATGTTTCATGTCTCAAATACTGTCCATACACACTACAGAAAAACCCACTAAATAAATCAATCATTGAAAGGAGGAAAAAGACTTGAACAACATAAACTCTATGTTAAGCTG